TTTTGTCTCCGTTTCTTTTAATAGTTTTACGGAAAATATCTACTGTTTCTTCATCGGTTACCTGCCTTGACTTTACTTCTGCAGGACATCTTATACCGATGACATCTAGGCTCCATAATTCCATCAAATCTAAATTATTAGCATATACAATACTCACAAAGATTTTGAGTAGTTTCTTTGTTTACCTTGAAGCGTCCATTCAAGTTTTGTTTTAATAGCTATTATCAATGGGCTCAATTCTCCTAGTCAATAATGCACCAAGATAATCTGTTCCTATTAATAAACCTATTTCAGGCACACATTCTCCTGTATCACTGTATTTTTCTTTTTCAAAATTGTATAAATATCAGAATCCTCTACACGTGGAATTGCACCACATATCTTCTTTCCGTCCAAAACTGAAATAGTGTACTTGAAATTTGAACACAAGCTTTCTAATGTAATATTGTAGACATTGTAGGACTCTTGTTTAGTTTCATTGCCCCTAAAAAGTCCTTGACTCATCATTTCTTGATCTGCAGGTTTCAATACTAGTTTCTGCGCAATATCTTTTCGTACGACAGATCTCTGAGCACCAGTATCAAATAATCCACGAACGATTCCGGACCTGTTATCATTGATTATTTTCACCAATACAGTTAACAATAACGTTGGAGAAGTTTTTGGTGACAAAAGAACCTGTGCATCCGATTCAGACTGTTTGTTTTGTTTTGATTGATTTATATTTGGGCACATAATGCTATGGTGTATTTTCTTGCATATAATACACTTTAAATAAGCTTTGCGGATCTGAGAATTGTGTCCTAGTTTCAAACAGACGAAACAAGCTCTCCTTTTTTTCAATGTTTCCCTTTTCGCCTCCAGTGACATCTCGGCAGCCTTAAAAGATTCTGAGGTATTATGAAACGACTTGTTGCAAAATAAACAATGCTTGCCATTTTGCTCGGCTCTTTGCTTTTCATTAGATACAATGCAAGCTGCAGTGGGAATTTTTTCTTTCGTTTTAAATTTTTCAAATTTATCATTCGCAAGCCCTGATCTAGCAAATTGTAACCACTCTTCATTTTCAACTTCCAAATGAAGAAATTCTAATAAATTTCTTAACATGTTCATTTTCTACAAGGTTATGTGCATTCCCACTCCTAGATAAGAACTTCTGATAGAGCTGATTCTACTAAAGGATATAGCATTGCTTCATATTTTTCAGACGTTACCCCTAAAGTCTCTAATGCTCGCAGCTGAGTCTCCAATTTATCATAAAGAACACGCAAAGTAAAATTTTCGCTAGATTTAAACGTTCACGAACATAAATTTGAATTAATAGTTCATCTTTAGCAAAACGAGATTTCAGTTGTTCATTAGCATTGTAATAGTTTTCGCCAAATGGTGGAAAACTTGCAACTAAATCTCTGGCCGATGAACCTTCTTCAGTTGCTTGTAAAAGATACTGAAATTTGTCATCTGCATCAATACTATCATCATCAGGAATTTTTTTGAATTGGCCCCACAATCGTAGCCAGTTTTTAATATTACCATCAAAACGTTTCAATTCTAACTTAGGAAGACGAAAATTTTGCTTAGTATCATTTACTATACTGGGAGTATCGCTTTTTCTTTCAGTGGTTGATAACATTAAATCAACTTTCGTTTTCAAAGCAACCCACTGATTTCGATAGCTTTCCATTCCATATCCTTAGAAAATTCATCTTCATTAAAATTTTCCATTTCTAGCCACGTTACTTTAACTTTTTCATCTAACTGAAATAATCTGTCAGCTTTATCATTAAAAATATTAAATACAGATGTCAAATCAATCTTACTTACTGCTTCATCTTTTAGAACAGTTTCCACTTCTTTCAAAGAAGTTGTGAAATATCGCCGTAATTGTGTTCTTTCTCGTTTTAAATTATCCATAGTCCTGTTCCAAGGACGCCAGTATTTTAAAGGATTTGAAAATAACTATGGATTTAATATGAAAAAACACTTTAACTGCAGATATTTACAAAATTTAGAAGTAGTTATTCTTACAAAAATGATAGAGCTTATTTTTTAAAATATAAAACTTAAACAGAGTTGAGTTGTAGCTGGTATTACTCAAACAAGAAGTGTTAACTGGGAGAAGGAAATTTATTTCCTAATAACACACATTTTGGGGTATAATGCTTTTCTCTCTAGGCATATACAGTCTGAGTACGTTACATTTGCCATGTTTCAGAGTGCATTATACGTGAGTTAGTGCTGTATAAAATATACACTAAATCACTGATATGCTAGGTAACCAAGTACTTGATGTGTTAGGAATCTTCCCTTTGTGTTCTTCAACGAATAGAGTGGTTGCTCAAACATGCAAAACAGATAGATGTGTTAAGAATCATGTGTTTGATGCCCTGCATGTGCACTGAAAATGCAAGACCAAAAAGGAGTGGACAGAAAGTGATGAAACTCAGCAAACAAGAGAGAGACAGCAACGAACAATAAGTGGTCTTTATTTCAAAATGATATGCGTAATACAGAGCGAGAACTTCATCAGCTCAGTAGGTTATAAGACCACCTTGGACGGCGATACACGAAGCAACACGTTTAGGTACAGTGTCAATGAGACTATGGATGGTGTCCTGAGGAATAGCTCTCCATTTCCTGTCAACCATTTGCCACAGTTCGTCTTCTGAACACTTCAGTGGCAGCGTCTACCAATCACATCCCAAGTGTGTTGTTCTATTGGTTACAGATCAGGAGAGAAAGGTGTGCCAGGGAAGCATCTGTACCACTTTCAGAGCTTTTTGGCCTATACAAGCAGTGTGTGGTCAGGCAGCATCCTGTTGATAAAGGGCATTGGGCACTCCCTGAAGGTAGGGGTGTATCACCGTTCCCAGTACATCATCCACATATCGTTTAGCCTTCATAGTGCCCTGAATACGAACTAGAGGTGACCTGGAATCGTATGCAATTGCGCGTAAAACCATGATGCTGGGTTGTCACACAGTGGGACCTTTCACAATTGTTGCCAAATAGGACCTGTCTCCACATCGATGCCACACTCGTACACGGCGACTATCACTGGAGAAACAAGCGTGACTCATCTGAGAACACGACCCTCTGCCATTCTGTCATCCACATCCTTCAAGCCCGGCACTATTGCAGACGTTGTGTCTATGATTGTGAGGGTCAATAGCAGTCTTTTTAACAGATGTTACGAGTGCAGGGCACTAGCCACCAATCGACCGCAAATGATCGTGGTTGGTATGGGAACACCCAGGGCGTCTGCTGTAGAACATGCTGTAGAATGGAGGTAGAAGTGGCTTGCGAATGCACCACCGCTTGTCGGTGGGTGGCCTGTGCTGATCCACACATGCTGACATCACTGGCTGCACTGGCATCCCTAGAACTTGTCACATTTCGTTGTTCCAACCATCATCGCCACAGCCGGTGCACAGTGGACGCTTCCAGGTATATGTCAGCTGAGATTTGCCATATGAACCAACCTGCCGATCACCATGACCCTCGTTAAATCGTCTGCCTGCTGGAACTGCCTCCATTGACGACGGCCTGGCAGTCTCTGCTATTACACGCATCCTCTGGGAGAAGAACAAATTTTCTACGATGATTTTCCTAGCAGAAATAATGGCAAAAAAATTAACATTCACATCCACATCCGTAACGATATAGCCGAAATATCACGCTAGGCGCAACGTGTCCAGCTCGATGATAAGCAAGGCCAAGAAGGCACATGACGTTAGAATATGCTGGACGTAGTAAAGTGGAGGTCTAAATTGGGTAAAAAGGGGGTGACCTGGAGTCACAGTCGGAAAACGGCCAAAGACAGAGGAGGATACAAACGAATAGAAGCAACGGGGGCCAACTGAGAGGCATGTCTGCGCTATGCTAGGAGACAAAGACAAGATCATTTGCATGACATATTACACAAAACATACAAGTTAGAAGATAAATGGGAAAAAGTAACAAAATACTACTGAAATAATAGATACATAAAGGATAAAATAAGGTAAAACAATATATACATGAATATGTACAAAAATTAGGTAGGGAAGTTTGAGTCACGGGTGAGATGGACCGCGAGGGGTCTAATATCTGAGTCCATTTCGAGAATTTCATAATTGAAAACATTAAGTTGTCCCAGGTGAGATCAAGTCCGAGCATTCTTGAAGAAGTGCCGTTCATTCTGTGGAGAAATTTATCGACAGTCTCGATCTGCAGTTCTCTATGGAGCGTATGATTGGAGACAAAGCGATGTGCACGAGTGATCAGAAGCAAGAACTTATTTTGAGTTATCTGCAATTTACGTAGGTTAATTGGGCGAACCACAGCCCATGCAGGCGATGCGTAGGCAAAAAGGGGCCTGATAATGGCAATATAAATATGCCACTTCCTCCTGAAGTCTAACTTGGAAAATTAACATTCTGCAGGTTCTTTCCCTTATAGCTTCTCCAATGTGCGCTGGAGAGCTGCGCATTTCGCATGTTTCGCATATCTCAGTGACGTGCGTCTATCCTGAAATTTGCTTAATTTTATCACATTTTCAATGTCGGGTATTGTATTTTTGAGTTTAAAATTTCAGTTTTTTCCATCAGTTTTCCCACTTATTTATTTTCCTGTAAATTGTTTTAATATGCATTTACTTCCTTTACCAATAGATTTATCAAAATTAAAGGTTATTCAGCTTCATTCATTTATCTGAAAAATATGTGCATCCTTCACGACAGAGCTCTGTCGAAATATGGAAATCATAAAAATGCAAACCCTGTTTTTAATTTGCAATGCACCATCTATCACTTCCAAATAGCATAAAACTTTATATATCCAGGTGATCTTTTGAAATAGGATACTTGATGAGGTGAAATAATATGTTTGTTAAAGCTAATTACAAGTCAAATATCTAAAGGTCAAGATAATGGAAGGCCACCTTAATTTGTAACTATATGTTAGAGATATTTTTTAGATAAGCAAATGATTTTTACTATTTATTTTAAATGTCGTTGCAGAGTGCCAAGATTCTTCATCTCTGAATGATATTTCAGAAGCAGTGGAAGTTGAAAGTGATGGGTTGACATACTTTGACACCAAATATGAAACAAACTTTACTTCTGAAAACTCATCCTGTTGGCCACGTATTCCTTTAATACGTATTTCTCTACCAACAAACTTGGCATATGAATATAATCTTCCTCCTGATAAAGATGATTCTTATCCTGTTATATTAAATGTATCAAACACTCAGTATACACTTACAGACTTTGAAGTTCTACCTATTGTTGATATTGGAGGAACTTTGGTCATAGAATTAGCTGTATCACCTTTCATGGTACTGAACTTTATTAATTTATTTTGAATTGCTAGAATAAAGAAATAATATAACTTATTGAATGTCTGAATTTTCCATGATACTTGAAATATACAAAATACATTGGTTGCTGCTTAATATGATAACCTTGGTAAATGAATTTCACCCATATCAGATAAAAATTTTACTTGTCAATAATGTCATATTTATGTAATAATAAGTATGTACCACAAAAATAGGAAGCATTTATTAAAGTTTATTTTGTATTGTTTCAAATGAACAAAGGCTATTTTGTGATAAAGTATTGATGAAATTTTCATATATATGTTGCATCTGAAAGTTAGCTGATGTCTAATGAACAATTCTAATGTTAAAAAATTTTAATGTTCTAATGTTCAAAAAGTATATAATGTTTCATGCATCTGCATACTTGTCAGAGGTTTTCCAATTTCTTTGTATAAACTTGTTCTTCAAAATTATAACTTATATTTCATCATAAAAGAATGGCAAACCATTTTTTAATCAGTTCATCGACCTTAACAATTTTTTCCTCAGTTGGCATTCAAGCACGAAAGTCATCAATGTTCGTGATGGAGATTTTGTTGTTCATGAAGGCGAGAAGCAGAAACTACTTTTAGAAATCCTTTTCTGTTATCTTTATTACTCATTTTAAAGCATATTTTCAATTGTTTTCACTGTGGTTTTGTTTCGCTGCAACGATTATCTGTGATATATTTCTTTGTTAGTGCCTTTGTCTGTAGCATTTTTATCTTTTAAATGCTCCAATAACTGCTATTTTCATTACTTTGCAGTAATAGGCTTTTGTTGCTTGAATAATGCCTTGTTATCAAAGCTGAATTGACGAATTAGTGTTGAAAGACAAGAAGTTACATGGTGTTTCATATTGAATGGGACAAAAAGAATAGCATAAGACAAATTCTGTAATTGATTTATTAAGCTGAAAGAACTTAATTCTAAAACTACAATTATGCAAGTTTGATCTGGCAGCAGCAAAAAATCTTGTTACAAAATCACTGCTAGATGCACTGTTAATCAAAATGGCACCATCCATGCAGGAGAAAGGTGTATTGTGTTTTGGAATACACCAAAACATCATCATTTATTGTCATTCAAAGGCATTTTCACACAAAACTTTGTAAAAAAAAAAAAAAAAAAAAACTGCATCATCGCAACATCAGTGATGAGGCGCTTTCAGAACATGAGCTGATTATGTTAGAAAACCAGCCCAGGATGAACAACACCCAAAATGGAAGTACTTGAAAAAATTTCTGAAATGTTTTTACAAAGTCCCACAAAATCAACACATTATGTGAGTTCTAAACTCAATGTGCCTCATGTAACAGTGTGGCGTGTGTTACATAAATGTCTACTAGTCTGGCCATACACCTTTCAAATGGTGCAGGCATTAAAACATTTCAAAAACCATTGCGTGAAGCTTTGTAACAGAATTTGCAACTTAATCTGGAGGTAGATGGTTTGGTTTCGTAAACAGACTTGTATTTAGATATGAAGTCACTTTTCGCATTTCTGGCAAAGTTAATTGCCATAATTTACAATTTAGGTGCATGGAAAATCCATGTGTTGTAATGGAACATGAGCATGATTCTCCAAAGGTGAATGTTTCCCCCATTATGCTTTTATTATTGTTTTTTTCTTGCCAACAGCTGTGTTTTGGGTCTCCTTTATCTTCGTGGAAAAATCGATTAATGGGTCATTCAGGAGCAAGATAATGCTTTACCACATTGGCATAAAAACATGCTCCTGTACCTGAATGATAGTCTACCCCATTACTAGATTGGCCATGCTGGGCCATTGCTTTATTGGCCTTCCAATGTCCCCAAATCGAACCCCCTTGTCATTTTTTTTCCCTATAAGGTTTTGTTAAAGACAAAGTGCTCATGCTTCCATTTGGCCAGGGCTTAACAACTGCAGCAGTGGATAACTGAAGTGCTTGAATCATTAGCAAAGGATATTCTATCACGAGTGTGGCGGGAATTGTCATACTGCATAGATATTTGCCGTGTCACCTCAGGGGCACACATAGAGAATCTGTAGAAACTTGGATAACTATAGTTTCATTGTAAATTTTATTTATTAACATAAAGTAATTACAGCATTCACACGTGTGCTTTCTTTTTATCCCAATCAATGTAAAACACCTTGTACTGTTGTGTACATCATTATAATATTGACAATGTAGGTCTCACACTGTCTACAGACATCATGGTTCATTCACCTCCTGTATCAATAAAATTAGATCCTGGAAATCAGGCTATCATTCATCTCAAATATGGAGTATTGATTAATATGCGAGTTCTTGACAAATCATGGATATTTACTTTTACTGAACAAAACCATTTCCTACAACCAGCTGTACTAGCACACTTAAACAATATAGTATCCTTATTTAGCAGTTTTCATAAAAGCAGACTTATTCTTTAATTTGTGTATTCTGATAAATTCGGGTGGTAAAGTGTGCTTCATCTGCATTGTATGTACTTTTGAAATTTTAAAAATAATTAACATTTTCCCTCTGAAATTCAAGATTCTAATGCAGAAAAAAGCTGCATCTCTTTTTCTAACTATGAGTTCATTACTAGCCAATATAGTTTTATTTTCTGCAGTAAATTTGTTAGGCATTCTCATATTCCCCCATTGCATACTGTCATGTTGTAAGTCATGAGACATCCAGCTACCAAATGAAGCATCCGTGGCTCAAACCCAATGAGATAACAGTTTATCTTTCACGATTTTCATTTTGGAAAACCTAATATCTATGAACTATCCATTTGTTATAACAAAGTTAGCTTTTACTCCCTGCCATTAAGTCTTCTGCTTTTTTTTTTTTTTTTTTTTATTATTATTATTACTGGGCTCTTATATGCATCATTATAAGGACAAACGTGAAGTAGTGCTTTAAAACTGATTCAGGTTGTCCATTTTCCCCTTTATGCTTCCTTTTATGATTTAAAGTTTCCAACTAATAGCAAAAAACGTATCAATGTTGAGAATAACTGATACTTTAGTTTTGCAGTTTATTATGCAGGCAAAATATGTTTTCTTGGGGTGAATCATATTTGTCTAATCCAGTATGAAAGTCTGTCTTATAGAGAGGGATAACATTTACTGTGATCATATCAAGCAGCTACCATTGTGCTTTGAAAATGCAAATAATCAATACATACTGCTTTTTATGTTCCAGAAGCATATAATAAATCTGAAATAATTTTTCCTTTCATTTTGTTTTATCTTTGCTTTCCCATATTCAGAAATTATGATTGCATACTATATTGTTAACACTGTGATAAGTGTATAAAATCTCAAAAGCAATATGCTGACCTGTGTAATTCATATGTGATGTTTTTGTGACTGATATTACTTTTAAAGAACATTGTTAGAATGATATTTAACAGCTGCTCCTTTTGGAAGCATTATGCTTTTATTTATTTTTTTTAATTTTTTATTTATTTATTTATTTATTTATTTATTTTTGTATTCAGATCTTATTATATAAATATTAATATAAATGTATATCTTTTTCAAAACATATTTATAATAGTTCTGAAGTCTTGAAACATTTTTGAATCCAGTCAGAAGCAAAAAATCTGAATTGGTTTTTCTGATTTAAAGAATGCCAAGAAAGACCGTTTGCCTAAGTTCATTTCCAGTTTTGAAAGAGGTATCCTAGTTAAAAGGGAGAGTATGATGCAGAGAAAAGTTTAGCATCAATGAAGGTTTGTATAGTTAATCACCGGTGGGTTTCACTGATGAAGCAGAAAGGTTCTGCATTGAAATCATTGATGCTTTTTTTTTTTTTTTTTTCATATATTTATGTAAAATGCCTGGCATAAAATGCATCTTTAATCACAGATAAATGATTTAGCACATGAAATTGTCTTTATAAATTCAGAAAATGAAGATAATTTTGCATGTTATCTCATAATATAGCAAAAGTAAGGAGTAAGCTTGGAGTAAGCAGAATTCTAATGTTTTAAGCATGTTTGTCTAGAAATAATGCTGAAAAAATATTTGCACTAGCAATCCAATAATAACTAACTAGAATGAGTGAAGTTAGTTGTTCAGTCAAATAATATCATAGTGTGAAAGGTAAATTCCTGGTGTTACTTCTGAAAATCAGTGTAAAGTCAAAAAACAGGCATACTTACTAGTTTGGGGAAATTATATTTATTTTTATGCTTGGGAACGCTAATATGCAATAAGCACAGATAGCATACTGAGTATTGTATAATGAAGGTAGTGTATGAAAGCTTTATTGTTATATAAAAGATAGCAAACATAAAAGCTGGCAGTAAAATGCTCACTAGAATGTTACCACTTGCAGTTGTATTGCATTTAATTATTCCTGTTGATAGGCTTTCTTCATTGGATACTTGTAATAAGAAGAGTCACAGGAATTAATATTGGAGCAGTGAAGATTTCCCTTCTGGACTGGACTCAAATGACCTCACACTGAAGTGAAAGTGTCAATGTCCAGAGCTCTGCATTATGGCATCATCTATATTCAGAATGCTTATAGGATGGGGAATTCCAGCTCTGACTGGGTTTCATGCTCCAGTTCCTGGTTTCCAATATCAACATTTCGGGCTTTGTTCAGTATCCTGAACTTTTACGAGTCACTACATTGCAATTATCCCAGAATCCCAATATCAGTCCTTGTGACTTCTTATGTTTATTCCAGCAAATGCTAACCATTGTGACTTCCATGGGCTTGGCTTCCATGGGTAGAGGATTTATATCACAAAATTATCAGAAACATGTAAATCTGCTTGTAAGCAAAGAAAGCAAACATGTAGAACAAGAAAATAAAGATATAGAACATGTCTTGCAACAGTGGCAAACTGTGAACATTCGATTAATATTTTTTTTGATATAATTTTTTGTAATACATATTAACAATTTTATAAGCCATTTTGAGTGTGTTTTATTTCCTTTGCAACTGTGTACGTCTGAAAATGCCATTTTAGATTAGAACGGCTTGGAACTTTCAAAGCATTTCTATATTTGAGCTCAAAAACTTCATCTGTTCTTTCTTCATAACTTTTGTTTGCTGTGTAGCAAATTATTGCAGGGTCTCAGTAAAATTTCTGTTTAAATTATTACATTGTAATTAATAATTACTTGATTCTCAAAGTGGATTTTTGTAAATTTAAGAACTATTTTTGTGTGTAAAATTTCATTTTTATTAATTTATTTTTCCCATTATTGCTTGATTTTATAAAACTGTCTAGGAATGTGTTTATTTTAGGTTGATTTCATTATTTATAGAACCTTTCACATTACAATGTATCTGTATCTGGTTGCCTGTCCTATGGTGTACGACCAAGCTCTGAAGATGTTAACTGTTCCAGTGGAATATCACTAAATGTGAATACATCATCATGGGATAATCGCTTTGCTACAAGATTTGTGCCATATCCAGAAGCAGGAACTTGGTATTTTCGTCTTAACACTAAATGTTACATTATGAATGACACAAATGATAGGTAAATGTTAATTCCTGTGCTGAATACATTTTAATGACTGCTTTTAGTTTGTTTACTGTTATTAATATAACAGGACATTTATAAACTATTATGTTACTAAATATAAAATATTAAAAAGTTGTTTATCATTCTTTGTTTAATTTTGTAATTTTTCTCAAGTAGTATTGTTTAGTTAAAGGTTTATATTTTTGCCTTCTGAATCTATTAAACATACTTTTATGCTTTTAAAATTGTGTTTCATACAAATCCTGAATGAACAAAAAGCTAAAGCATGTTTCATACTTCAAATTTTGTAATTAACATTTTTCTAATTTTTTGTAAATATGTAACATTTTAGCATCGCATGTGATTTGCCCAAAACACCAGTATTTCTTAGAATAAGATCTACACCATGTGTTCTTGGACATTGCGGTAATTATGGAACTTGCTATCAGTATGTGAGTGGTGGTCTCATTTTTAGCACTTGCAATTGCATTGCTGGTAAGTTTATCCTTTGGTATTCTTATTTTTTTATTTCAAAATCAGTTCTCTCCCCAGAAACAGTACTTTAAAACGTTTTAAATGACATTTCAAAAACTTCATTGGTATAGCTAATTATGAAGCATTTAGAATTAGTAGTCAAACGTTATTTCATGATTTTTATGGAGAAATAAGAAGTATTAGAATTCAAAATTGTTTACTATTATGCTCTGCGCGAATAAAAATAACTAAGTCACTACTGCACAAATTTCAACATATGTTAAAACTTTAAAATTCAGTTCTTGAGCTATGGCAATTTCAATATGGTAAGTCATTGATTTGTTGCTTTTATCTCTGAGCATGGGTAAAATAATATTTATATAGGTCATTTAAAAAAATTTTAAGTACTTTTCTCATTCCTCATCTTATACCTTTGTGGTGAAATTGGATGCATGTCTGGCTTGTAATTGGGGGTCTAGAGTTTAAATCCTGCTACATGCATTGCTAATTTTTCATATTCTGGGTTTTAAAATATACCTAATGATTTTACAAATTTTATTCAAGTAGCTATTTTATTCAAATGGCTTTGGCTGAAAAGGCTTCAAAATACTAATATAAGTTCAGTGCTTTTCACTAAGAAAAAATTTTATAAATAAATAGATATTGTTATACTCCATAAGATTTGTATCTGAAATTTTGAATAAGCATCCATATGGTAAAGAAGTCACAAAAATTCGTTAAAGCATTGAAACAACTGCATTCCATAAATATGGGAATGAAATGAAGGTATTTCCAGTACTTCAAAAAGATCAGCATGTTAATCATCCATCAAACAAGAATAGATACTGTGAATTTAATTCCAAAATCAAAGACAAAATGCTTTTGAAATTTCACTGAGAAAATAGACACTGTTAGACATCAAAAGTTATGTTTAAAATCACAAGCTGTTTTACTAAGTTTAGAATCAAAGCCTGTGTAGAACTTATAGTTGTGCAGATTTTATAGATTTGCAGATTCTATAATAAAAATTATAAAATGTAAATTCAAAAAGTAGAAATAAATAAATTCATAAAAGTGCATAAAAGACATTTCTTTTTGATATTTTTACTGCTAAATATATATTAAATATGTTTTAATTTCGTGTAAAAAGACTAAAAGACAAAGAACTTTTTTTACATTTTCAAACCACCATTTGCAATAGTTTGCTTAAAAATTTCAGAATGCTGTAGTTTGAGTCCCAATCCCTTCAAATTAGACTGTTATTGCCACTAATTGCTGCCTGATTTTTATTAAGTCTTCTTTTTGCTAATACTGGCTGTAAAATCATGAGTTTATTTAGAATTTGCCATTCTGATATGGTGAAAAAGTACTATTTTTAATACCAATTTTGTATGAAGTTAAAAATAACTTTTTTTTCCCCAATTGTGAGGCAGCAGTTATCACATATTTTAAATGTTGGTGCAAAATGTAGCCTAGAATAGTAATGACAACCCTAATAATGTGTTCACGATTCATTGTTGCTCAAAAAAATAGTTGTGGCTGCTTGAATAAAATCCTTCATTGTGGATTTCTTTTCCTTGAAAAAAAAATTATGGCAGTTCATTCATCATTTGGGAAATGTCAAAAAATCATAATATCCATCTCAGCCCCTTTGTCAAAATCTCGCATAAAAAACATGTCTGGATCAAAACATGTTCAACTGCAGTGTTCAGTGCATTTTGTTCAATCATGACATGTTTTCACACTTTTTGACTGCAGCCTTTTTAGAGAAAGTTGCTCAATTAAAAGAACATTACCTTTTAATTTTACATTATACTTTACCTTCTAATAATTATAAGTTTAGCGACTTATAGAAAAATATTTATTTGGTGACAGTTATGAAAGTAATTATCAATAAAATATGGTAACTTGTTTCTATGCTGAATAAGGATATCTGCCACCAATAATATCCAAAAATTGTCAAAGCCACTCTCATTTCCCAATTCATGTCCAAGAGGCTACATTGGTTTCAGGCATTGCCAAATTTTTATTCTTCTGCTGTACTTTGATACCTGTGAGTAGATGAATGTTTAATGCTCATGAGTGAAGTATTTTATTATGAACCGTGAGAGAAGCTTGTTTAGGCACCTGATCTAAAAGTCTTCTTTATTTTACTTTATTTGTGACTTTGTGTTTTACTTGATCGGGAACAAATAACCCCATCAGACCTGAAGTTGGTTTCAGTAACCTTTATTATTAAACAAAAATCAAAACATAAATGCACTTGTACTAATAATATCGGTCACAACTTGTGGTGAGGCAACTAAACAGAAATAGTCAAATTTAAGTTAAACTTGTGACAGGGGTTAAAGATTACACAGTTTAAATCTTACTCAAATCTGATGTGATAATTCTACAGGAGCATCAAAATCAACTTGTTGGCAGTGGTATAATATGTAGGATATTTTTTTTCAACCTCTGATGGGGTATAAAGAAAAGATGGATAAATATACAAAAAAGATTTTTTTTAACAAAAGTAATGTACAATACAGGTTATTTCTCTACATAATCACCTTGACAATTGAGGCATTTGTTATATCTGTGAACAATCTTTGCAATACCCTCTTCATAAAATGTTCCTGCCAATGATTGGAAAGTAAGTTGTGATTGTTTCTTTGAGCTCCGTGTCATGCAGCACTGCCGCCCAAGCCACTGCTTCAGTTCAGGGTAAAGATGAAAGATAAATATATGGTGGGTGTTTGAAAATGTCCCATTGAAATTGCTGAAGGAGCCATTGGGTTACATGAGCACTGTGAGGATGAGCGTTGTGGATCAGAACAATTCCAGAAGTCAGCATGCCTCCTCGTTTGTTTTGAATAGCTCTCCATAAGCATCACAAAGTTTCACAATATGAATCTGCATTAATTGTTGTTTCAGGCTGCATAAACTACACAAGCAACACACCTTTTTGGTCCCCAAAACAGTCGCCATAACCTTACGGTTGTTGAAGGTTTGTTTGAATTTTATGGGTCTGGTTGGAGAATTTGTGTGCATCCATTTGAAGCAGCGGTGGGCTTTTGTCAGTAGTAGGCAGATAGATGTCGTAATTTTGTCGACACATCTGCCTTACAAATTTAACCCATGAGCCAAAACGTTTGACGTACGCTGCAAAGAAGAGTTTGAGGCCCTATATATAAGTGCATCGTATGAAGTATTCCATGATAGGTTTCGTTAGTTTGTGGCCAATTGGCAGAACTATTGGATATTTCTGATCGTAGTTCAGATTTGATAGTCTCAAGCGTCTTCCAACACGAATCGCATCTTTTTATTTAAAAATGAATTGAATAAAAATTTTTCACATGTCGCAGCACAACACACATTTCGGAATACTGAGATTTTCAGTTACGGTAAGCGTTGTAACAAAAGTCTTCCTGCGCTTAAGATTCTGCGCATATTTAAGATATAGCGATCCGGGAAATGGTACTTGACAATCAATCTGAAATAACCACGACCTTTGCATAAATATTTTAGCTCTGGTAATGATTAATCCTGCCATACCCTGGAGGTCATAAATGCGAGCTGTATTAGGCAACACTGCTCGTTTGTTGTATGTGCTACCAGGTTCAGGACATTTTGAAAGAGAAAAAATCACTGCTTGGCGTTGCACTGCACACCTAGAGATTTCACGAACTTTTATTCGGCTGAATGATGAGAAGAGTAATTTCCGAACTTTCCTTCATTTAACTCAGGAGTATTACCGTACCATTTGTGTATTTTCATTCCACCACGTCCAAGCAATAGAGTCAACTCTCTTCTGAAGATTCTTAGCTTAAGTCTGAAGCGCCTGACAGGACATGGTCCATTAGAAGTCGGTTAAAATACGGATGAGACTAAAGGAAAGTCTTTTCCTTCATTAAGAGATATCTGATGAAATATCCTCTTGGCTAGGAACAGAGCATATGCTGTTCCATGCGTAACTGTTTGAAGAGTGTAGGCCTTTACCAAAGATCAATACTTTTCTTCCAGAGAACTCTTTGAGGAATCGACTTGGAACTTGTTAATTTCAGTTTTTCAAAACATTTTTTCGATGTTCCCACTAAAGGCATAAATAAGTTTTTTAAATCGTTATATGATAGGGAAAGGCTTTGTTATGTACCCCTC